AGATTTCATCACAGAGAGAGAGAGAGAGAGAGAGAGAGAGAGAGAGAATGTAGGAATTAAGAACAGTGATTTTATCTGAGTTTTTCCATGTGTTCTGCATTTTGTTAATAACTAAGCCCAAGAAAATGTCAAAATATTCCTACAGGTAAAAGTTAAAGGTTAGTTGATTTATAAATCATTGCACAGAATGTACTTTTAACTTCCTACTGGTACCAGTACATATCCCTGCACAGCAAAGTCAAAGGTTTTTGAGTTTGACGAAGGCAAACTATTCCAGAGCCTAAGACTCCATTCCTATAGACATGTAGATTGACCTAACCCTGTAGGGATTCTTGCAAAGTGCAATCAGCTTAACCGAATGCCACGCCTCCTCTTGTTTTCAATGTACTTCAATTAACACCAGCTTTTCTGTATTCTACTTAATGCCAGGAGGTGGCGTGTCATTTAGTGAAGCTAACTGCAGTCAGCATGAGACCCTGCAGAGTTGGGTCGATCCAGTAGACCGGTGGTGTGTATTGGAATGGGGCCTGACAAGCTGTTTCTTGTTTCCTGCTAGGACTGTCCAAGGTGGTTTCACACCATATTTCATACCAAGAAAAAAAAAAACCCAAAAGGTCAGACACAGTGTTTGATATAAACGCAGCTAGACTTACTCAGTGTAGATTTATTTTAACTCTAGGGGAAAATGTTTCTGAAACATTTTACTTTTATTTTTCATATTTTGTTTTTTGTTTGCTCATCAACTTTAAGCCTGTCCAAAAATCAAGCAAAATGAGAGATTTCTGAATATTTGATCTTGGAAAACATAATGTCATTTGTCTTAGTATTTTGAAGTAATTGCATTATTAAGAAAGCCGTAAAATATATCTCAAACAAATAATTAGATAACATTTTGAATTCTGTTTCACAGCAGGAGGGTATCCTTACCAGCCTCAACTATTATATTTGTATGTTATACCAGGTGTTGGCTTAAATACACGATTATTTTGATAAACTTAATTTGTTGCTTCTTTTTTTTTTCAAAAAGAAAGGCTTTTCATACAACATTACAAGCAGACAAACATAAACTAGGCAAAAGCCATTGATATTTCAAACTGTGGTGTTCACAGATCCACAATGCAAACGCAGGGAGGTAATGCTTCTTTATTCTCAGTTAAGATTTTTACTGACGTACCAGTACATACAATTAGATAAGCAAAATTCCATTTTGCTCAAGTCACTGAATCTCCGCTTCAGGAAATACCTGTCTGCATCATGCACTCAGCAAACAGTATACATCCTACCTGTTCCTCTAATACTCTTGGACAATATAAATAAATTTCACAGTCCTTAGCACAAATATTGAGGTCCACAATGACTCTGTTTATCTATATTCGGCATTCCAATTGAAGCCCAGAAACCGTTCATCAAACATAAAGAGAAGAAATAGCGAGAACACTAGGTCTATAATAACAGCAATTTAGGGAGAAAAGTGTACATCGAGTGTAAGTTAATAGAAGTACAGCTTTCTCCTATTGCAGTTTTATTATGATCAAACAAGCCAAATGTTCACATCATTTTAAATTCAAACAGACCTTGGGAAACAACCCAATTACCTTTAGAGAATTTGCACCTTAAATAGAAACATGGATTTCATTCTTTTGGAGAGGACTAACTAAAGGAATACCAGGTAAGTGATTTTTCTAAAGGTTAATCGGAACCAATTGCCTCTTGATTAAGCAGTGGGTTCCATTTAAATGAGTTACAAATATAATTATTTAAATGTCAAGGGAAACTTCATCTTTGCCTTCAGAAATGGGCATGGGAATAGCAAAGACACTTTTCAATACAACACTGTCTGTCAACGTAGTTGGAAAATTAACAATAAATATCTGGTTGTGGATTTAATTTTGATCTTAGGCCACACTTTTTTATTTTTATGGATGACATCCTCTGGGGACCCCGAAATCGGTGCGAGAGGGCGAAAAAAAAAAAAGAGTCCAAAAAAAAAAAAAAGGTCATTTCGGTCGATGCCATTTGGTCTACTTCGACTCACACGAAGCAGCCAAATTGTCGGGTGGCCTGACCGACCTACAGCCCACCAAATACCTCGACGCCCTGTCAACCCTTTTTTCGCTACAAAAAACCTGGTATGTGCTGCTTTGGACAGGAATATGTCACTGAAATTTTCCGGGCGNGGTACAATAAATAAATAAAAGATAATAAAAGCAAAGATCACACAAAAACTGTTTATTATATCAACATATTTTGCGATTGACTTTAGATATTCTTTGACATAAAAACAACAACAACAACAACAACAACAAAAAAAAACAAACAATATACTCCATAATAAAAGGTATGAGAAATATTCCTAGACACAAAGCATTAGTGCAAGTGACATTGCTTCAACATATTCTGCATCACAACAAGGCACATCTTTCACAACTAACACAATCAACTCGGCATCTGCTGTGCTGTCACAACTAACGCACTGTGCACTCACCAAGAGAAGCGTTCCTCCAAACCCCATGCAGAACACCAGGGGGCCAGTCAGGTCCGCGTCCTGCACCACCATCTCATCAGCATGCTTCAGTGGGTTTAACACGGTTAATGTCTGGAATGAACAAGTTGAAAATGTTTTACAAGCTCCATTTCACTTTAACGTGGAAAGAAATGTTTCTACACAAGCATTCAGAACTCATTTCTTGCTGGAAGAATTTTAAAATAAGTAAATAAATGACTAAAATGAAAATGGTATACAGGTTATGTATTAGATACCTATTACAAGGTCAAATATTTCTGGGTTTTTTCTAAGAAACAGAAACAGTTATTAAGTTAAAGTTCAGGAAAACTGGCAATTAAAAATACTTCTCACTGACAATATATAAAGAACAGTATGGATAAAACCCTGAACTCTTTCCATAATGGAAGTACACACATTCAGCCAGCAGTCAGACTTTATTTAAAAACATGTATAATTCAAGACCAGGCAGTGAATACACAGGTTTCCTGCAGAATTAATATTTACTATCAATCTTGAGCACATCACGAAACATTTAAATGTCAGTATGAACAAATTCCATCTTTTGGTGGATTTGTTTGCTTTTTTAATGGCAAGGGCTGGACCTCCATGTCACTATTTCTATACTATGCATCAAAAATATGAACAAGTTACACCAGAGGCACAAACTTGAGGTCTGCTTTTAACAGAAATACAGTCGATAACAATGATGACTATATATCTCATGAAATGCCTTTTAGCTGTATTCAGGAACTGATAAATGTTAATCAATAGAAAAATATACTGCTCCATTATGTACTTGCACTTCCCATTTTTTGCACTCATGCTGTAAATGCACTGCAGCTTCTTTGGAAAACACAATTCATTTTTGAAAAAAAAAAAAAAAAAAAAAAAAAAATTCAACATCTATATATATTGGCTCCAGAGTTCATGACTCAGTGTGTGTTAATTGCAATGTACATGTACAACCCATAAAACATTCCTGGCGTGTTTCTCCAATTATGTGCAACATAACGGAGCCCATGCCTAATTAAAGGTGCACTCTGGGACCTGCCAGCCCCTTAATGGAGAGGTGTTTAAAGCCGGCACATTGTTTGCAAATATTGGAGTATTAAGTCAACAATGGGGGAGCTTGGTCAGGTGCAGACATAGGTAAAGATCGTGAAGGGTTGTTATTTAAGATAGTGAAAATAAACCCAATTGCAGACTAAATCCATACAACTGCTTTCAGAGAGAGAGAGAGAGAGAGAGAGAGAGAGAGAGAGAGAGAGAGAGAGAGGAGGGAAGAAAAAGAAGGAAAATGCACAAATTAAGAACAGGGATTTTATTTGAGTTTTGCCATGTGTTCTTCATTTTGTTAATAACTAAGCCCAAGAAAATGTCAAAATATTCCTACAGGTAAAAGTTGTAGGTCAGTTGGTTTATAAATCATTGCACAGAATGTACTTTTAACTTCCTACATATCCCTCCCTGCATAGCAAAGTCAAAAGTTTTTGAGTTTGATGAAGGCAAACTATTACAGAGCCCAAGACTCCATTCCCAAAGACACCTATCGGTCTAAGTAGATTGACCTAACTCTGAGGGGATTCTAGCAAAGTGCAATCAGCTTAACCGAATGCCACGCCTCCTCTTGTTTCCAATGTACTTCAATAAACACCAGCTTTTCTGCATTCTGCATAATGCCAGGAGGAGGCGTGTCATTTAGTGAAGCTAACTGCAGTCAGCTTGAGACCCCGCAGAGTTGGGTCGATCCAGTAGACTGGTGGTGTGTGTTGGAATGGGGCCTAACAAGCTGTTTTTTGTTTCCTGCTAGGACTGTCCAAGGTGGTTTCACACCATATTTCACACCAAGAAAAAAAAACCCCAAAAGGTCAGACAGTGTTTGATATAAACGCAGCTAGACTTACTCAATGAAAATTTATTTTAACTCTAGGGAAAATGTTTCTGCAACATTATACTTTTATTTTTTGAATTTGTTTCATGTTTGCTCATCATCTTTAAGCCTGTCCAAAAATCAAGCAAAATTAGAGACTTCTGACAGTTTGATCTTGGGAAAACATAATATCATTTGTCTTAGTATTTTGAAGTAATTGCATTATTAGGAAAGCCGTAAGATATATATCTAAAACAAATAATTAGATAACATTTTGAATTCTGTTTCATAGCTGGAGGGTAGTCTTACCAGCCTCCACTATTATATTTATATGTTATACCAGGTGTTGGCTTAAAAACATGATTATTTTGATAAACTTAATTTGTTGCTTCTTTTTTTTTCCAAAAGAAAGGCTTTTCATACCACACTACATGCATACAAACATAAACTACGTAGACAACAGCCATCGATAGTGAAAAGAACAGGCTTTATTTCAAACTGTGGTGTTCATAGAACCACAATGCAAACGCAGGGAGGTAATGCTTCTTTATTCTCAGTTAAGATTTTTACTGACGTACCAGTACATACAATTAGATAAGCAAAATTCCATTTTGCTCAAGTCACTGAATCTCCGCTTCAGGAAATACCTGTCTGCATCATGCACTCAGCAAACAGTATACATCCTACCTGTTTCTCTAATACTCTTGGACAATATAAATAAATTTCACAGTCCTTAGCACAAATATTGAGGTCCACAATGACTCTGTTTATCTATATTCGGCATTCCAATTGAAGCCCAGAAACCGTTCATCAAACATAAAGAGAAGAAATAGCGAGAACACTAGGTCTATAATAACAGCAATTTAGGGAGAAAAGTGTACATCGAGTGTAAGTTAATAGAAGTACAGCTTTCTCCTATTGCAGTTTTATTATGATCAAACAAGCCAAATGTTCACATCATTTTAAATTCAAACAGACCTTGGGAAACAACCCAATTACCTTTAGAGAATTTGCACCTTAAATAGAAACATGGATTTTATTCTTTTGGAGAGGACTAACTAAAGGAATACCAGGTAAGTGATTTTTCTAAAGGTTAATCGGAACCAATTGCCTCTTGATTAAGCAGTGGGTTCCATTAAAATGAGTTACAAATATAATTATTTAAATGTCAAGGGAAACTTCATCTTTGCCTTCAGAAATGGGCATGGGAATAGCAAAGACACTTTTCAATACAACACTGTCTGTCAACGTAGTTGGAAAATTAACAATAAATATCTGGTTGTGGATTTAATTTTGATCTTAAGAATACCAAAAATTACCATCCAACAAAGTAATTCAGGTGGCAATATCCAGTAAGTTTTGATCTTCAACAATTAGTTTGCAAAGCAGAGTCGTGAAAAAGAATTAGAAAGGCTCCCCACACTACTGTTCAACCTGCTTTGACCCTTTTTACCTTTAAAAAGGTAGAAATAACTAGGGAAAATTCTCACGCCTATAGGCTAAGGACATTTACTGGAAGGGAATATGCAGCTTGCATGTTGTAATGGAATAAGTTTAATAAAAATTCATGTAACAAGAGCCGTTCTTATAAACCACCAATAGTTTCAATTCATCATTTTTTCAACAATTATCATCATTACTAAAGACCTATCACATAAATTCAATAAAAATAACAATTTTTCAGTAATTCCCTCATATCAGAGGTAAAAAGAGGAAAAAAATACACAAGACAAGATGCATTTAAATTCAGAAAATAAGCCGCTATCGATTTTCCCTATTTCTCTTCTTTTCACCTCCTTTTCCATCCTTTATCTCACACACAACCAACCACATCAGGAGATCTGCACTCCAAATGGGCAAGAAATTACTCATTAAGAAGACCCAGTGACTCCAATAGAATTAGCTGATAATCCACTGAGTAAACCCCCATGATAGCCCATAATGACATTCCGAAGACACTCGGATACCGAGATCCCAGTGGAGACGAGTCTGCTTAAATTAGTATGTTATAAGTTGAAGTCATCTTTACTTGATTGTCCACATATTAAAGGATGTCCATTTGCATTTCAGCCATACTTGATTGGTTCTCTTATACTGATTTATCAAAAATACAGCACTGTATTACTTATCAGATCTGTACCCATTTTGTCAAATTCACTAGGTGCAAGTCAAGTCAGTCACAGGGAAAAAGAGCATGTATTACTGCAATTAGTTATCATTAGTCATTCTAAAAGGAAATGATTCTTTAATGACCTTAATCACAATTTCAATAAAACATGTAAATTAAATTGTAATCCATAAATTAAAAAAGATAGGTCCTATTACTTTGCTGCTTGAAAGCCATTTCTATAAATACAATGATTTACAAATCTGTCTGTATGTTATTTATAAAGTTTAGATGATTTCCCTGATCATCTTCCACCTCCGTTTCCTTTATAAATGGTGATAATGACATGAAAGAAAAAAATTTTAAACATAATTCTGCATTTTCTTTTAGGCCTACACTTGTATGTTTATCAAAAAAAACAACATATTTTTAACAAATCACCTTTGAAAAGCACGAGTGAGAAAAAAAATCTGGAAAAAGACCCTGTGATGTATTATCTCATGTGTACACATGTGCGACTTTACGATCTCTGTGTTTCACATCAATTTCTAAACAATAAGTCATTACTAGTGTGGCACCATCTGGCTTTGGTGCCACACTCAGCTGGAGGGGTCTAATTAAAAGAAGAGAAAGAGTCACGCGTCAGGTATGTCCTTGTCATAAAACCCATACATCTGCTTGTCACACTGAATACTCGGAAACAATAGGAATTGTAGCTAGTGTCACCATTGTGTTCAGAAATCCATGACACATTTTAGCATGTCAATTAATATCATACTGCATAATCTTATGAGATTGATACCAGTTGTTTCCTCACTTGACAATGAAAATTAATTTGACTTGTAAATCAAATGAATTTTAGCAATTATGTCATCTGAAGTCTCTAAAATTTTAGCGAATTCTGTGGATGTTAAACCAAATGAATTTGCCACCATATTGCATCATAACTTGAATAATTATAACATTTAAGTTACATGGCCTGGTATTGTTCAAAGATGTTTTAATAGAAAATCTGACAGCTGGACTGCATCCAATTTCCCAAATTTACTGAATCACTAAACCCCATTTCCATGTCTGATTTACAACTGCAGGAACTTTCATCAGCATTACCAACTGTGCCAGACCACAGCTCGATTTATTGAAAGAGGATAATTTTATCATTCTGTTCCAGACAATTATGACTGCTGTATATCACTGCAGACTCCTTTACTGAAAATAATTCCCTTTGTCAATGGCTAATATAATAACAGTCCCTCTTGAAATAACAATTTAGTAGACAACAAGACATTAAATTGTACTCTCAAGACCATGCCCGTCTGCAGGGAATAGGCACAATATGTGTATGCCACAAAGGGTATCAGACACCGAATAATTTAAACGAAAATCAATTTTTTGACTCAACTATCCAACCTAAACATGGGGTAAAAAAAAAAGGTACGTGAATTATACCATATACAAAGTGAGAAAGTGGAATCAATCTTTATCAAAGCTGAAACAGCATTTTGGGATAATATTTCAATTTTTCGCCCTGGGATGTCCAAGCTACTGATCTTTATTAAGGCACATCAATACCTTACCAACATATCAAATTTAATTAAATTCCTTACAACCTCACACAATAAAATAATCCAATAATATTTTTCCTCAGCAAGAGGGTGAATATCACACATTTTTCCTCCATTAATAATCCTCAAAGAGAGCTTCCTTGCTGAGTACCTGGCTCCTTACACAAACAAATCCCCGCCTCCTCAGATATAATGACAACAGGAGACGCTGGCACAGAGGTCACATGATTGAAGTATTGAACGGCAGACGGCCTTTCTCCTTTCAAGGGATTGACATGCAAATAAAGCAAACAGTCATTTCATGCTGCAATTGGTTGCTCTGTTTGTACAAGATGACTGCAACGGGGTTTTAGCAGGTGAAAAACTTGTGTGCACAGCAAAGTTGGACAGGGAAGTGAACCAACAGGGACTTGGTGATACAGGTACTATATGTACAGTAAAACCTGAGCAGAAGCAAAGTAAGTGGACCACAGAGAAGGCTAGGCTAAACCTTTTTATTCATACTTGACATGAAAAATTCAAGTTTATTTGTAATAATGTGGGCACATGCATTATTAAGCCTTGGGCCACTGATGTGTTTACTTAATATGGGACTGTGTAGTTGGTTTAATATTATAGAAATGGAAATATAGTTGGTATTATATTATAGGAACGGAAAAATAAGGAGCACTTTTCAAATATATTAAGATAGTAATGGATTGATGATTGAGTATTATTCACCATCAGTTGAACAGCTTTTTTCTGCCATTTAGTGCTTTGAACAAATTGTGGTATGCTTATACCAGTGCATTGGAAGTATAAGTATGGGTATGGGCCACAATAAGGGGCATGTATTGTTTGAAGTAATTTGTGTAGGTGTTTCCTCATTTATTAGAGAACAAAATGAGTTCTAAGCATTATGAGCACCATGCTTGTCAAACCATTAAAAGTGAAACCTTTCTTCAGAAATCTTAGAATGCTCAAATGCACATGATTAGTTTCTAATCTTCTGTCACTTAAAAGAGAGAAAAGGAGAACAAATGGCGAGTTTATTAAACAAAAAATCTCACTCTATTGGCAAAGACTTTAGTCAACAAACAGAAAAGAGAAATACAAAAAAAGCTGTACTTGAAAACAGGGCATGGACATGTGAGTGTGGGTCGGAGGTCCGGGGGGGGGGGGTGTTGGGGATGGGGGGGAGGGGAGGAGGCAACAAGTGCAAGTCTATAACACCTATGGAAGCACGTTTCCTGGGGCAAACTCACAAATAAAGGTCCCACACAACACACACTTTAACCACCCTTCATTGATTAATATGAACTACAGGTGGGAGAAAATCAATGTGGCAGCTAGTTAAATCCATAGCTATGAGATATTGGATAAAACATCAGAGATTTAATATTTTTGGAGTTAAGTGCTGATTCTGGCTCCCTCTTAATTTGTTTTGCCCCTTATGCCTATGTGGAAGGCTCTTTTGGTCTTTTTATTGTGTAGCATGCAATAGTGAGATTAGGGCCTCTCAGGAAATCATACCAATCTTCAATTAATTTCGGTGACCATAATTTACTGCATTCCTGGCAAACTTCTTGTTAACTTGGTTTAATTATCTGATTTGATCTCATTTGTTACTTCAATAATTCATAACTTCAGACACTGTTATATGATTAACAAAATATACTTTTTCTGAAGATAATAGCTCTTATAGTTAGTTCTCTTTGTGCAAAAATAAAAATTACTACATGTATATTTGTTGGCAAATCCGAGCTTTTATTTGTGTGACATCTATAATAATGTTTTTACTGACTAAACCACATAAAATAGACATTGTACAAGGATTATATTGCATGAAGTATGTGACTTGTAATGGCATACAAGTATCACATGGCTATTTATCTCACCAAATTCACTTTTCATGTACCAAACAGTAATTTGTGACTTTGTGGGAAAATTTAAAACCAGACTGAAATGCCGCGATGAGAATTACCTGTGACTGAGACGCCCCGCAAGGCCAGGTATAGGTAATTCTCACCTTGCAGGACATCTCAGACATACCATACCATACCATACCATACCTATGACTGGCTGATTGGCTCAAGTAAAGGACATCAATACATGAGTGCAGTTAATCTTAAAGTGGACCGAGATCTGTACCTGTCAACTGTCCTGAACTGGCCACTCAACATGGACAACCCACTGAGGTGTCAAACTTAAAGTCTCTGAGCCAGGTATAGCTGGACAATAGTCAATGGTCAATACCTCAAACTGACCACCTGAATTTGCCTGGTTTAAAGCAGTATAAGGATTAAGGGATCTGACAGGCAGATTTAAAATGAATGAAATGGAGAATCTTACTTCAGGATTTATCACAGCTTAGCATACTTAACACTGGGACAAACAACTGCTGAAACCATTCATAGAATTATGTTTTTTCTCATCAACTAAACCTGACCAACCCTCAAAAGGTTCTTTATTCATTACTCAGTGATATCATACCATGAACTAAAGCATTTACAAGGGTTAAATGTTTTGTTTATCCATGCATTGACCGACTTCATTAAAAAAATATGAAATAAAACATGTAAAGATGTGAGCTTTCCAGCTATGTGCTTCTCTGCAGAAGTTTAGTATTGGCATCACTGACCTGTTTTAGATTGTACAAACCTAAAAACATCTGCAGTAATTGTTCTAGTGAAATGGGCTGGAAATCCAACCATCAAACCAAATCCTGGCACTCAACTAGAAACAATATCCTCTCATTTCCGAAATTCTAAACAAAAGCTGTCAATAAGACATATCTGTGGGAATTGTGTCTGATAATTTTATTTCCCATGTCAACATTATTCTCTCCTTGTAAAATTACAGCCTTTTGTTATAATGTTAGGAATGAAGATTTAGACAAAACACTTAACAGATGGATCAGGGCACAGGCCAACCACAAGAGGGAAGAGAAGAAAGAAAAATTACAGGTCAAAATTTACTGCTTCGGAAACGAATCTCATTATAGGTTAAAGAGACAGAGGTTTTGAAAAACTATACAAGCAAAATTCAAAGCTTTTCATTTTTTTTGTTGTATTTTGTGATTGTTGTGCAATGATTTAATGTGACCGCCAGCATAACGTATCACACCAATGATCACAATAGATTAAATTAATAGTACACTGCCTAACAGCCTGGATTACCTGCACCTTGAGAAATCCTTTTTTGTTCAATTGTCGACTCAAAATTTGCCTCGTCAACAATCATGTCGGGCCACATCTCTCAATCATCCAAAAAACAAACATTAAAATGACAGCTTTAGTGAAATCTTATGCCTCACCCTCAAAGGAGCTCCAGTTATTTGGCTGGGTTAAGTGTTCTTACTTTTTGTCCCTCCGGCATCTGTCCAGAATTAAACTTAAGTTGCCCTCAATAATTTATCCCCCATAGGTAAATGTCACTCCATGGCAATATAAAACAATTGTTTAGATATCAGTATAATGAAAGATGTTTTGATTTAAAAACAGTTTAGGTGCGCCCATAAAATAGCTTTAAGACTGGCCACTATGGCAAGGGGGTGTGACCTTCCTCTGAAGTCATTGGTGGTCATTTTTGTTAAAACAGGTGACTTAGTTTGATGGTCAAGTATCCAAGTGGACCATACAAGTACAGGCAAGCATACCAGACCTGTCAACGCTCCCAAACTTATCAATGGCTGTCCAAGTCATATTTCCTCTAGATCTCCAAAGACTTGGGATAAGCCACTGATCTCATGCTTTGACATTTAACAGGTAAACGAACAACAAGAGGAGAGATTTCTCAAATTTCACTATAGGCGTCTTCACCTTTTGTGCTACAGATGATAAAGTCATCTTAAGTTGGTTTGTGGGGAGCTTGTGATTTTACTGTGTCAAACTCTGTCATTGTCAATATTAATGCCATTCTAAAAGTTACTGGAGATGGATTGACCCATACATTCATTGGTAGGTTGAGAAATACATCACTCCATTTCAAACCCTGGTATTATCTTAGTCCTATATAACCAAAAATGACCAAAAATGTTACATACAGTGGTATGAGTCTAGTATCGATATCACAAATGACAATTTGCTCAATAGTAAAATGCATACATTTGCATAAATTAATTCCTTATAATTTTGATCAACTAATGAAGGGGATATCATCTCTTAGCAGTCACTGATGATCATAAAACCACTTAGTACATATCTAACAATTGTCCTCTGGAGATTTATCAGCCATGAGCTTTGGGATACAGCCAAGACCTAACATCCATATGTGATGGTTGAAGTCACTTCTACCATCACACATACATGCATAATTCAATGACTATTCTCTGCCCACAATGCCAGAGAAAAACCTCCAGGCACGAATTGGTCTGATGAACCGTCTTCATACCCACAATGACCAACCCCAACCCAAAGGTGACAAAGATGGTCCTTGTCATTTCTAACAGACATCACCACAAAAAATATCCATATATACGTTGGTCTCTAGGATATATGTCAAAGTAAAAATAAACTGCATCAAGCTATAAGTGAGCCAGAAATGTTACTTAATGATATGGACATTGCAGAAATGCTTCTTTCCACATGGATATTCAGAGAGAAAAATAAAGAAAATACTGGGGGTGTGAAGGATGTGCCTTTAAGGGATTAAATGTAGAGTTAATACACCTATATCTTAACACCTGTGATGCCTGTCCCTTATGTTGCCCCTGAACCTATCAACACAAACAAAGGTGACCAATAGTGAAGGCAGCAGTGTGGTCAACAGACCACTTGAATGCTGCCTGGACACTGGCCGACCTGGGGACAGGAAACAGTAAGGTAATTACTCCATCTTTTCAAACAGGAAAAAAATGTGAATTTTACAGCTACTGCATTTCTTAGGTCATAATTTCTTTTTTAAAAGGCAGGCTACTCTATAGTTCTCTTCTATGCAACAAAAGCACAAAAAAATGCTACACAGAAATACAATTTTAGTGATTATGAAGTTTGATAATTTTTTCCCTTGAAAAGATGGAGTAAATACCGTATGTCATCACCCCCTGGGCAAATACCTCCTAACCCCATCTGGGGGTTATAGTCAGTGTGTATACAGTGTCTCCTGTCATTAGCAGACAAGGCCTAGAGAGAGAGGGCCGATACTAATATTGAATTGGTGGAACAACAGGCAGGTTGACTTTGCCATTAGCACATCCATAGACATAAACTAGGAGCTGATACTGATATTGAACAGGTGAATTGACCACTGGGCAGTGTCAATATCAGATGGCCACAGGACCAATGGTGGACAATGTAAGTTGCTGTGTCACACTGCAGTTTGGTTTGATTAGGAAAAGTTAAACTAATAGCTTTATTATGTTGTCAGTTTGCAGAGGTCACAAAAGTCAAATTTAGTTTGCCTTCGTTTGTTAGCAGTGCTCATTTCTCATGACTTTTTTCCTTCTAAATGGTGGCTCTAGTTTGTTCCATCTTTAGAG